CTTTCCTCATAAGGCTTTATTTGCAGCCCACAGATCTACTCTGAGTGGTTTACAGTCCAAAGAGGCAAAAAAAAATTGCCCCACCGCATGGCCTGGGGGTGGGGCCTCGGCTTTTGATCTACAACAATTCCAAGATCCTTCTCCCTTGAAGTCTTAATGACCCAAGCATCCCTCGTCTTGTAACTGTGCATTTGGTTTGTTCTTCCCTCTAGGTGTAGAACTTTGCGTTTATCCTTGTTAAATTTCTTTATGTTTTCAGCCCAGTGCTCAAGCCTCTTTCTTCCATTTTTTTGTTGGAGAAAGCAATAAGCCACAAAAGCTTGGGATTTCTTGGCAGAAGTTGTCCCCCAGCAAATATCAGAATAATTGGAATTTCCAGTTACTACTACACTGTGTCACTTTGAAATTCTTGCAATTTGTTTTTCAAAGGTTTAAACCACATGTTCTTCTTGATTGGGTGGTCAGTAGTAGACTCCAACTACCATGATCCTTTTGTTTTTTGGATCCAGTTATATTAAATGATGGGACAAGCAAGCTCATCCTCCTGTATTTCTATGCAAGAATATGGATTTTTCACATATCCTTCACCTCCACATCCACCTCCTTCTCATTTCATTTTGAAATTGCTGTATTCTAGTCATACATATGTGGACATCATGGTACTCAGTGATGGGGATAGGACAGGTTTCCGGACCTGAATGAGTTGACAGTCTATCGGTAGACTAAGGAAGGAAGACCAGAGAACATCTTGGAGACCAAGGGCCTCGTCTCGTTATTAGAAATCACCAGCCGCCAGGGACCCACAAAGTTTCTGCAGTTCAGGATGGAACCTCAGTTTCTAGCTACACCAGGGCCAATCCTCCATGCCTATCCAGGCATCCAGGAAAGAAAGGTAACTGTGGACGTCATGTATGACATGTATATCTCTCTTCTGCTTTTACCTTTAGCTCAGCAATTTCTTCCCAAATTTCATGAGTCTCATTCCTGGACCTCACCACGGAATGGCAAGAAACAAATAGCCGGTCAACCATTACGAGGCAATTATTGAAATTGATACTGAGCACCCTTGGAGTCGCAACTGTTTCTACCTACCTGTTACCTTTCCCATCCCTGGGATGTCCTTCTTCCTGAGACATCTTCAATGATCCCCCATCTAGCCCAGAATGCCCAGTGGGGAAGGTTGGTCTGCAAACTAGGGGACATCACCAAAACCTCCAAATTCAGACTAGCACTCTTGACATTAGGGGAAAAAACACCAGCACTATTGGTGAAACACACCTTACACGCAGAAATCAAACTTTCTCCTCCATGAGCATTGCTTGCCCAGGCATTTTTGGTATAGAAAAGGCAAAATCTTTTAAAAACCTTTTCCGGCCATTTATGGGCTTTTTAGGGCTTATCTAAATCAGCTCTATGGAAGGGGGCTGGATTAGGCTAAATAGGGTCATTTAAGATCAGGTAAAATTCCAATATGTCAAATGGCATACAGACCTCAGGTGACCGTATTTGATCCAGTTCCTTCCGCTGTCAATATGCCACATCATGAGGTGGCTTAAGAAGAGAGCCACTTCAGGATACTGGCAAATTAAACACTTCCTCCTGGAAGTGGGAGGAGACAAGAAGGAGGAAGTAAGGGATTTTATTTTTCATTGACTTGTCTTAAGGTTCCCATGAAGAACTTGCCCATGGCCAAATCCATCACCAAGAGTTCATTTTAAAAAAAAAATGCTGTAATAGAATCTATTCTTTTACTTATTTATTCTGAGACTCCATAGAGGAAGTGTTTAATTTGCAAATATCCTGAGGTGGTTCTCCTTTAAGTTGTCTTCTTCAGCTATGTCACAATAGGAGAAATTGACTGCAGAATTAGCCTTGAAAGCTCACTTTGATTTGTTTCCAGTGATTACAAACAAAGGAAATGAACCAAAATAGAGCAATCCTACTTACAAAAAAACCCCCACACTTTCAGGAAACCAGCAAGGTAGGAATGATTTTGGGATGGTCTATGGTTCACTCCAGTTGGAATCAATTCTATTTTTTACATTCTAACTACGATTTAGCCATCACAACTAATTTAATGCCATTGATGGAATTGTACGTTTCTCCAGGAAAAAAAGAACGGTGAATCAGAGTTCACTTCTGAAAATATGCTGATGTCTGTGCTTGATTTGTTTGGAGCCGGAACAGAAACAACCAGCACAACCCTAAGATATGGGCTCTTGGCTCTTCAGAAATATCCGGAGGTAGAAGGTAAAATAGACCCTTCAGCTACCTGCCAGCAGCTCCACTCCATTCCCTCCCCCTGGTTTCCCCTTTCAGATTCTCCATGTCTCATCACGGCCCCATAGAATTCCTGCCTTGCTGCCTGGGTGATTCCAGGCTGAACTGTATGGCAGCATTTGGGGTGATCATGGAAGTTAGCTTTGGTGCCAGTGGATAAAGA